GCCAGGAAATCGCTCACCGACCTCGTAGCACTCACAGTAGTTCTTCAGACAGCCGGACCGCTTGCAGTTGCAGCCTCTGTTATGACGAGCCTTAACGTCTCCCGACCTGCCTTTCCCAATTTTTGGTTGAAAAGCTTCTGGATTTCTGTCAAGACACGCCTAAGATAGAAAATGGAAACTCCATAAAGAATGCGCTTTATGCCACGCATGGTGGGGAACGTCTCTACTCCAACACTCTGAGAGGCTGAGGCAGGAAGAAGGCAATTTGAGCCAAGCCTGAGCAACTCAGTGGCTTAGTGAGACCCTTTCTCAAAATGAAAGATTAATGAAAGAGCTAGAGGGGCTGGGGCATAGGTCAGTGGTCTGGCACCTGCCTGGCAAGCACAAGGTCCTCAGTTCAGTTCACAGCACAAAGTCCTGGTTCAATAAGAAGGTTGAGAAGATAGCTCAGGGGTCTAAGCGCCTGCCTGGCAAGCACAAGGACTGGGATTCGATCTCCAGGACTGCGTGCTGTGCTGGCCACCGAAACTAGGCATGGTGGCACACACCTACAATGCCAGCACTGGGGAGGCTGAGTCAGGAGGCCCACTACAAGTACAAGCTGTGTGGTGAGACCCCATACCAAATAAATAAATAATAATTTTTTTAAAAAAGAGCTAGATATATATAGCCCTGGGTTCAATCCCCCATACTGCAAAAACAAACTCTACCAAAACAAAGATTATGCCTTGTGACTCAGAACTAATGCTTAGTGACAGGCCTCTCTAAGAGGAGCACAGGGAGCAGGGAGTCCACTGTGACCAGGAGTCCACCTCAGCCTCTTGGTCTCTACAAAGGAGTGTGCTGCTTTTAGGTTGGGCTCTTTCTCTGCATTTTAAAATCATACACATTTAGTATGGAAAATTCAGACAATAAAGATGAACAGAGAGTCACTGTCTCCATGTGAAAAAGACTCTAGAGTCTAGCATTTCCCAGCCTTTTTCAGATTATAACTGACTTCAGGGTGCAGGGGTTCCTGGGGTGGAGCCCAGGGCTGCACACATGCTAGGCAAGTGCTCCACTGAGGCGCTCCCAGCCCTCTGAGAGAGTTGAGGCTACGATACTACAGTGAGAGTCCACACCATGGGAACAAGATTGAGGGGTTTTTGTTTGTTTGTTTGTTTGTTTGTTTGTTTTATCTCCCCAGCCCAGAGAACATGAGTGAGTAAAGCACATCTCAGACATCTTTCTATGTGACATACATTTTTTCCTTATGTAATCCCCTCAGCGACCATGAGACCTAAAATCTGCTACAAGGGCCAACCAAATAGCTCAGCAGGTTAAAGTCTCTGCAAGCAGGTGCAGGGGCCAGGGATTCAATCCCTGGGCTTGCCGTGTTGGCCCCGCCCCTGGGCACACTGACAGAGTGATTGAGACTGGGCATGGTGGCATGTGCCTGTAATCCCAGCTCTTGGGAGGCTGTAAGCAGGTGGATCAGTATGAGTCTGACCTAGTAGTATAGACCCTTCCTTAAAAAAAAAAAAAAAAAAAAAAAAAAAAAAATCTGCTACAGGTATTGCCATCTTCTAGATAAACTGAGGTGCAAGAGGCTAAACTACAGACAGCAGGTGGTGGCCTATGGAGTCTAAACCCTCATGCTGACCCCAGAGGCCAGGCCTCCCTTCCCCTGGCTATACCGTCTGCAGTTGGTGGCTTTATCCATGGGTCCTACTAGGGAACAGCCTGTGCCTGCAGGTACAGTGTGACAGGCTTGTGCCTAGCGCCACCCTCCCCCAGGGCTGGCTAGGAGTTCCTTTGTGGCTCCTCCCCATCATGAACTCGGCCATCATGGTTGGCTCCAGGGGCCAACCACGCAGACTCTGACAGCTCTACCTCTGCCCTGCTGGGACTTCACAAGAGCGGAGCCCCACAGAGCAGCCTCACGTATCCTCACACGTCCTCAGCAGTGTCTGTGACAGTCACTCGTGCTGCCGCACTTAGCCGTGCTTCTTTCCTTCCTGTCCGCATGTAATTTTCCATCAGACCACAAACCTGCCTCTGTATCAATGGATTGGTGGGCTGCGGTCAGTGTTTGGCTATTTGAAATAAAGTTACTGTGAACATTCTTGTGCAAATCTTTTGTGGACAGTTACACTCACCTCCACTGGCTGTATTTTTTTTTTTAATTTTATTTATTTATTTGTATGTGTGTGTGTGTGTGTGTGTGTGTGTGGCCAGCTCAGCCCACCAGGGGGCAGGGCTGGCTGGCATGTGGTGCTGGGGAATTGAACCGCGGTCCCTGTGCTTTGCTGAGCTTGTTTTAAGTAGGTGCTTTAGACCACTGAGCCATCTCACCAGCCCCTGGCTGTAGTTTTAGAAAAGAAATTGCTGGGGCATCGCACATGCGAGCCTTCCCTCTAATAATAGCTACTGCCAAACAATTTCCCGAAGTACTGTACCCATGTATAGTACCATTTGAGAGTTCCAACTTTAACTGTAGATAATGCCCTTTGCCTCTAAATAAAATATGACTTAAAGTTTAGGTCTATCATAATTTTCTTCTGTCCCATGGATCTGGTCATAGCAAAATTAATCAAATATTTCTAAGGGATTGATACATAATAATTCAAGGGGAAATTATTCTTGAAAAAACAGAATGGACCAGCCACGGCGCGGGGGCATTTGTTCCACCTGTGCAGGGTACTCGCATGGCTCTCGCTGACAGCCCCTCTTTCCTTTGTAAACCAGAGGCCCCGGGAAGCGTCTGTCTGGAAGAGGTTGATAGCCCAGCCTAACCGGGCTATCTCTCCCTGATTATTTCTGTGCCTCCGGAGAGGGCCCCAAACTGCTCACTCCTGCAGTTAGCCATCAGCAGGGTGGCCTTTGGGGCCACCAGAGGTGGTGGTCTGTCCCCCTCAGGAAAGCCTGGATTTCTCCTTACTCCTGGAAGCTGGGATAGAAAACTTCAAAGTGACACGAGGGCTGCGAGCCCCTCAGTCCTCCCCACAGAGGGCTGCCCACCTCTTTTCAGACTATACTCTTCCAACTCAAGCTTACCTGCTGCACAATATGCCCCGAATTTCGAACCCTCAAACCCAAATCGGGTGGACTGGCACACAATCTGGCAGCAACTTCCTGGCTTTTCTTACCCCAAAACCATCCTCATGGGGAAGACAGGGTCTCCCTCTGCCTGCCGTTGTCAGCGGCAGACACCCCGCTGTAGGGATGGCCACAGGCCACACATATATTCTTCACACTTTATGTTTTTCCAATATTGAAGTTAGGCATCTCTGGAGATCATTCTGTGAACATCTCAAACACTTTCAAATGTTTTAAAAATTTATTACCTTAATGGCATTAAACCGTTCAATTTCATGATGTAAATTGTTGCAACAATTATTACAATTGCAGTTGTTGCAAAAGTCCCCGCTGGCGAAACAGTCACAGTACCTGGGAAGAAAAGCACAGCATGAGCAGGAAGTGTAGGTAGCACAGCCAAGCAATGACAAAAAAGGCACGTGTGCAGGGAAAGGGTGGCCACAGGGCCTCAGCTAGGATGATTTTGATTTAGGGGATCCTGACTACATGAGCCGGATGATGTCCCACAGTGACTAACACAGGAGAAAGGGAAACTATGAAAGCTTGGGCTTGGTAACGTATGGTCTTAAGAAGTGAAACAATTGCTTGGAAGTTATCCATTGCTGTCAATTACCTCCAGACCCCAGATGCCCTCTGCCATTGTGCCACCAATCTTCCCAATCCATCCAGTTGCTGAAGGGCTATCCCCTTCCTGTTCAACTAGACCATGAGTCAAAAACAATGAGAGAGACCTGGCCTAGACTTCCTTACTTTCAAGTTCATGAGCAGAGAAAATGTAATGGTAGAGAAAATTCTACCATACCAGCAGGGGTGCACAAGCCCATGCTGTGCTACTCCTTTGTGCCGAGAGGGTCCTTTGCGCACCCTGCATTTGAATCCCCCACAGCAGAAGGCCCCAGGGAGAATGTCCAGGGCACCCTGTGATCGCTGGGCACAGCAGTGAGGCCGCCATGATGGCTTCCTCTGTTAGTAGCCATGAGCTGCTTTAGACGCTCACCTGGACTGTGCCCAGGACCAAAGAACAGGGGTTACAATTCTTTCAAGGAACGCTTACGTTCTCTCCACGTGGGCAAGCAGCACCCAAGCCAGCCTCCTCAGATCTAGTACCCCCAAGAGGTGCTGGGAACCTGGGGGTCACTCTGCAGCTTCCAGTAGTGACACTTCAGTTGTTCATGTGAGTTCTGCTACCAACTCTCACGTTACCCACCACAGACTGTTACCTGTCAGCACTGCACGGTGGGAATTGGAAATCGGGAAGCTTAGCCTGCCGGCCTCAGCGGCTGCACAGACTGGAAGTGCTGCCCCCAGGCTGCGTGCGCAGGGTGGACCAGATATCTGCAGAAGCCCCCGTGTTAGAAGCCCAAGCATAATTCTTTTCATATTATTTTTGTATCATTAAATCATATTTTTAAATGCATGTGAGGCCACTGAGAATGAAAGAGATCATCAGAGGCCAAAAAGCCAAAAATTGTGAACCCAGAGAGGTGGAGCAATAGCAACTAAGGGTTGTCTTGAGACACCTGGTGTCCCTATGGACTCAGAGTTTGGGCTCCCACAGGCTTCCATGAAGTCAGGGCTACAAAAGGTGCAGTTAGTCCCGAGACCTCCACCTAAATGAGGATCCCTGCAGGACAGCCTCGTAGGGGGCAAACAGACCTGCTCCCTGGAGGTGAGGGTGGTGACATCGCTCCCTGGGGACAAGGAGAAAAGACAGATCTCTCCTGAGCCCTCCTAGCCACAGGATGGAGACCAGGGAAGGAGACAGTGGCAGAAGACTCCAAGGAGGAAAGCAGGGCGTGGGACCAAGGATTCCACATTCACAGGAAGAGCTGAGAAGTGGTTTCTGGGGACCTGGGAGGTGGCAGTCCGGCCCTTTCAGGTGGAAGAGAGAGGACCAAAGAACAGGGGTTACAATTCTTTCAAGGAAGCCTTGAGTCCCCGAGGCCCCTTTCTGATGACTAGTTCTGCTGGCTACTCCATCACTGTAACAAAGGATGGAAATCGCCCTTGGGATAAAACTACTGAGAAGTGGGGTGTGAACCTACTCAGCCTCTAGAATTCTAGCAGGGAATGGAGCAAGCCTTTTGGAGTACCCTACCAGGCAGGAAAGATCTAGGCAGGCTGACACAGAGATCCCGCAAAATGTAGTGTGTGGTCATGTTACTCTAGGTAAGGCTGCAGAGAATAGCCCACTTAGGGCGCAGAGGGTTGCCCAGTCAGATCATGCTTTTTACCATGCGCAAAGTGACCTGAGAGATTAGCGGATATGTGAGGAAACTCGCCTTGCGGCAGGCAGGCTGCAGAAGCCAATGCTATGAGGAAAGCAAACCAGGAGGGAGCGGGACCCATGGCCTTAAGGAGATTAAGAAAAGTTATTGAGGGCCAGGGAGATAGTTTAGGGCCAGGGAGATAGCTCAGTAGAATAAGTGCTTGCCTGGTAAGCTCAAGGGCCTGAGTTCAATCCCCAGTTCTGCCAAAAAAAAAA